CTGTGCTTCACCTTTAATTATATTTATATATAATAAATAATAAATTTGTGTCTATAAACTAAATACATTTTAAAGATTAAAAAAATTGTGATAAAGGATATTTATTACTGATATTACAGCTAGTTATAAAGCAGTTTCCAAATTTGTTGGTTGATGAATAACATGAACACGATTGCAAATAACAGATAATTTATTGAAACTTGCCAAGATGACATTTTATTATAAAACAAGTGAAAAGAGAAATGTTACGCTTGTAACAACTACATTGCAGATATCTAAAATATGATGTTCTCTTTGGAAACAAAATATTCCAAATGACTACTATCTTCATAGGAATGTGGGGACCTGAAAAAAAAAACTACACGGTCAACATCTATCCTGGGAAAATGGCACTGAAGATATCTGAATTGTTAATGTTTGAATAAGAAAAAAATAAAATTGGATATCTACTGTACAGTCCAGTTACTAAGTGTAACAAATGAATTTTGAACATATAAAAAGAATAAAATAACTTCTTCCATATGTTTGTTTTCCGACCCACGAGGTGGCGCTAATGCGCCATGGGTTTGTTGGCATAACCGAGGCAATACAGGATGACAAACATAGCCGAGCTGCTAATGCTAATAAGGTGGACGCTAAATGCTCAAGTTAGATATGTAGTCGAGTTAACACAGGAAAGTTAACAGGCAAAAGCAGACCACATAAACCGAATTTACTACCTTTTCTATAAACAAAAGTCGAAAGCTGTTAAAGGTGAGTCGTAAGAGCAACGATGCTAGTTGTGTTCGTTTATGAAGCAGCGCTGGCTGTGCTAACTAAGCTAGCTAAGCTAACGACAATTTACTTACAGAGTTTATGTCCATGTGGGTTATTTGATATATTTTTGTTGTCTTTTTCAGTAATGGCATTCTGGTACAGAATATGATAGGTTTGTTCCCGCAATTAATACGTGTATTTTGTTATTTATTGCCTAATGCACTCACTTGAAGGTGAGAGGCCTTATGCTAACATCTCATGTAAACAAAGGAGTCGCATTTTGTTGGACGTGAACACAAAACAACATACTTTGTTGAAAATACAAGGATTTTCGGTAACTTTGTGCGTTAAATACTTTCACTTGAGATGGAACTTTATCACCAAAATATTATAGTACACTGTATGGCCCTGTATAATAAACTGGGCCATAACAAGTTGTTACAGATGTAAACTCTGGTGTGATTCATTAGAAGCTCCAAAACTACATATTAATATTAATATCTTCAAATAATACCTTAATTTTCAAAGTTTACCTCACAAACACTAAGAACAACACACCTACCTTTTTAAAAATGTATTTGCATAAATATTGAAAAGTGGGCAGGTCTTAAGTCTCTAAAGTTTCTTGAGGTGAATGAAGAGATGCAGGCCAGTGACCCTGTGGTTGGAGCACCAATGGGAGTCGCTGGCGTTCAGAGTCGATCTGAAGATGAAGAGTCTCTCGGCGTAAAAGATGTGAAAAGAACAGCGACCCAAGCATTTGGAGGCAGCGTTCCTAAACGGAGAAGTTCATCTAGGTTTGATTCATAAGTGACTGCACATTGAACTATTACAGTAGCGCTGTAGTTGGGCAGTAATTGCATTGTTCCTTCTTTAAATATTTGTGTGTGGTAGATGTTCAAACTTAAAGCACACCTGTTTATCTACATATTAAGGTCAATAAAGAGAAAGAAGTTCGATGATGAGCTTGTGGAGAGTAGTCTCGTGAAGTCGTCCAGCAGAGTAAAAGGCCCTCCTGTCATCGAGCCGATTCGATGTTTGAGCAGTGAACCTTCATCTGTTGAGAAGAAAAAGGTATAAAACATAAAAATATTGAATGTTCTTAGTGGAACGAGAGGCCAAAAACGAATACATTTCGTAGAATAGCTGGTTATATCAATGATTTTTTTTTTTTTTGTTAATGTTTAGGTAACTAAATCAAGCACAGCTCTCACTCCCCGTCTGACAATGCTAATAAATCCCACACCAATGGCCAAAAGAGTGAAGAAAAGCAAGCAACCTCTGCATATTACTAAAGACTTGGGGCGATGGAAACCTACAGATGATCTGCTGCTAATAAATGCTGTGCTACAGGTGAGGCCAAGGAAAACATTGCATTTTTTTAACTTTTGCCTTAAATGACTCTTAGTTTGTGTCAGTTTATAATCTGATGAGACAAACAGATAATTGACATGTGTGTGTTTTATCTATTTGTTTGTAGACTACTGATCTGACTGCCGTTCATCTCGGGGTAAAGTTCAGCTGTCGCTTCAGTTTGCGGGAAATTAAAGAGAGGTGGTACGCTTTGCTGTACGATCCCGTCATCTCAAAGTAAGAGACGGAGCATTTTACCTTTTGCAGTTATTACCCTGTTTTTTATTTTCGGAGTTTGTCTTCTTATTTCTGTCATTGTTGTTCAGAACTTTGCTGTGTTGTCTGTTTGAACAGGCTGGCTTGGCAGGCTATGCGGCAGCTTCATCCTGAGGCAATTGCAGCGATCCAAAGCAAAGCTCTTTTCAGTCAGACAGAACAGGGGCTGCTTACCAAAATTGGTTCAGTAAGTCGCATAATACTTAACTTTTTATGAATATGAAAGATAGTTAGGATTTTAAATGAATAGCTTTCCTCCTCAATGAGACATAACTTGTATAACTTAATCACAAAATTGTTTGTTTCTTTCTAAAACAGACCAGTCAGCCCAAACTGGACATTTTCCAGGAACTTCTGAGCAAACACCCCAGTGTCTTTCACCCATCACGTACACCCAAGAGCCTGATGGTTCACTGGCAGCTGCTTAAGCAGTACTACCTTCTCGACGACCAGAGTGGTAACTATAGTTCCTCACACATTTCTCCTGAAGTGTTCATGAAAAGCAGTTTTAGTTAAAAGAAAAGGTTTTTTTTTTGTTCTTTTGTAACTGGTCAACTCACAAAGTCATTATAGAAATGATGCACATCTGTCTAAACTGCTGATCCAGATGAATGAGTGATGTCACAACAATTATTAAACAAAACAAAAATATATATAATATAACTATTAACACTGCATTTAATTACATCTTTACTGTTTGGAAGATTTGTAACATTTCGTTATGATAATTAAACACAAAGGCATTAGTTGTTTATAGTTTTAATAATTGAAAAACTGCTTACTAAATAAAATAACAAATATAAATTTATAGTTTTTCTATTAAAGCACTGTGAACTGATTGTCTTGCAGTACAGCCCCTCCCTAAAGGTGACCAAGTCCTCAACTTTTCTGATGCTGAGCAGATGGTCGATGAAGCAAAGTTAAAGTAAGTCTTTTCTTCACTTGCTGATATTTTTCACTGTAACACTGTTTTCTAGCATTCATATATGTGCCTTCTTCATACAGGGAAAGTAGAGACGAAGTGTTGGAACATGGTAAGAAATTAGATTTTCTTGTCTTTTTAATACATCTTAACTTGTATAGCTTAAACTACAACAGATATGTTACTTTTACAACAACCAGGATCTTAACTTGGTAGAGAAATCCAGTGCCTCCCTCTGTAGGCAACATTCAGAACAGCAGGCGTTGTGTTTTCAGGTTAAACATCTGTTTTGATAAAAACTCAATTTTTCCTAAAAAAAATATAAGGACTCTTAGCTTTGACCCACAGCTGCTTGTAAAGTCAGTGACAAACCTGTTAATTTCATGCTGAACAAACTGAATATTCACTCTGGTTTACTCTGTGGTCTTGTTTACAGAGCTGATGATTTCTGATCGCCATCAGAAAAAAGAGATCCGACAGTTGGAGCAAGAGTTGCCTCGATGGCAGGTTCTTGTGGACAGTATCACAGGTGTGTAAACTGAAACTCATTGAGAGCGATCAGACAGCCTCTATGTTCAGATTTTATTGGAGTAATCCAGATTTGTGTAGCTTCATTTTGATATTGTTTTTTTTTTTATTATTATTATTACCAGGCATGAGCATGCCTGACTTTGACAATCAGACTCTGGCAGCTTTACGAGGAAGAATGGTCCGCTACCTCATGCGATCAAGAGAGGTGAGACAGGTGGAAAAGCGGGAAGCAGTCAAATAAATTCAACTTTAAAAGATGTACTCTTGCTGTAATCGTCTGTTCATTCAGATTACTTTGGGGAGAGCAACAAAGGACAAACAGATAGATGTAGATCTGTCTCTGGAGGGGCCTGCCTGGAAAATATCAAGGAAACAAGGTGATTTATTTTTACTTTATGAATTTTTTTTAAACTATGTTGGTTACAGGAAACCTCTGGTTGAATCCAAAATAAAATTATATTTGTTTTGTTTGGTGTTTAATTAATCTGTAAAGGTAAACATGCTAGCTTTTTATGACATATAGTCAAAATGTTTGCATTTTATGAAGCTATTACTTTTAATTATGAAGGCTTAAGTAAGGAAAATGATTGATAGCTGCAGAAACTGCTCTTGCAGGACAATAATTTTTTTAAAGGGTCATTAAATCTTGTTTCTGTAGCATCTTTGCACTTCCCTGGACTGGGCTGCAGTGGGATAGCACTGATGACTGTCCTGGGTTGATTCCTGGATGTGGGTTGTTTGCATTGAGTTTGCCTGTTCTCCTTTTTCATGCGTGTTTTCTCTGGATTCTCTGGTGTTCTCCCACATCTGAAAACATGCATGTTAAGTTAACTGGTTACTCTTAATTGGGCCTATGGTGTAAGGGTGTGAGTGGTTGACTCCAGGTTGTGCCCCGCCTCTCACCTGGTGACTGCTGGTAATAAACTCCGCCTCCTCGTAGCTTTAATTTAGTTGTTTTAGAAGAGGGATGGATGTAAATCTTCCACCCAGATGGGGTTGCAGTTTGAAATTCAACACTCCAGTTACCCCTGCTGGACTAAATAAAGAAATCAGTTTCTGACATTCAAAAAAAAATGTCCTTTTGAAACTAACAGATATTAAAATCATATCCCATTGACTAAAGTGACTTCTTCCTCTTTAGAAACAAAATAAAGACCTCTGTGTTAACTTATTCTCTAATATAAATAAGTGTTAATTATTAACTTTTAATGTCCCAGACTTTGTGGGAGCTGTGTTAGCTGGAAGTTTTCTGTCTGTACTTGTCTGGTTTTGAACCTTTAAGAAAAGCTTTTAAATTTTACAGTTTATCTTGAACTTTCAACACAAAGTAATAATGAATAATCTGGGATCGGATGTCTGGTGACATGAATCAACCTTTCATAAATCGTTTAATATTTACTGAGGTTTTGCTGTCAATTTGTCTCAACAGGAATAATTAAGCTGAAGAACAACGGTGACTTCTTCATCGCCAACGAAGGCAGGCGGCCCATCTACATCGACGGCAGACCGGTCCTGTCGGGAAACAAGTGGAAACTAAACAACAACTCTGTGGTGGAGGTGAGTGCGGCGTGTTTACTGGGCTGCAGAGGGACACACATCCTGAACCTAACCCTGACCTGTTGTTTGGTTTTGCAGATTGCGGGTCTTCGTTTTGTGTTTCTAATAAACCTGGAGCTCATCTCTCTGATCAAAGCTGAAGCTGCTAAGATGACGCAGCAGTGAGTGTCGGCGGAGAAACCGTTCTGTTGTTGGTGTGCGTGTGAGTGTGTGTATGTGTGTAGCTGTGGTAATGGGCACTACTGAAGCTCAGCCGGACAGAACTGGACTGATGTTCACCCCCACATGTGAATCTCAAACAGACCACAGCTAAAATCCTGGAGCAAAACGGTAACAGCTTTAGTGTGGTGTAAGAATATTTTGTTTCCTAATATAGACACTCTTATTGTAGAGCCTTGTTGGTTTTCAGAACGTTGTATTTAAATTCTCACATCAAGCCTTTTTCATGTAATAAACTTGTATACTCAAAATCTTGTTTTTTTTTTCTGTTCAGCTCAGAGGTTCAGGGTGTTTCCTGAAAAAACTGTACAATCTGAAAATACAACTCTTTAAGAGTTGTGTTGAGAGACTCTTTTATAAAACCTGCCTCAAAAACCATCAAATCCAGACTTCCATCAAAACAGCAGTATTCTAACCAGGTTCTGCATACTCAGACCTGATTTAACCCCACATGTTCTGATGGGTTTATGTTTTACCACTCAGTCATATCAAACTGTCACTAACATGGAACAGGGTTATAAAATCATGTTTTATTACGTGAGAAACATCCTGTGATGCAGTTATGTGAAACAAACATCTTTCACTTTAACAAATATAATAAGCTATAAAAAATCTACATGAAATGGCTGAACTAAAATGCTGTATATCAAAAATAAATTAGGCTTAGTCTATTTAAACACCTTGAAATTGGTCTCTGTCTCTTTAAAAAAAACTCCCTACTGTTTCTGACACTCCCACTTCAGCACATTTGCACAACAATGCTTTAGATTTTGAATTAAAGGTTACACACATTAAAACAGTTCTGCTATGTTAAACAGATGAACTCACTCACATCAAACAGCTGGTTTTATGATGTGTAAGATAGTCCTAAAGAAGAGTTTGCAAGGCGTACATTTATTTTATGCACAAAAAAAAAGGATGAAACTAAAATCTGGACCTGACAATAAATTTTTTTTAAATTTCATTTTGTTATGAAAAACAGTAAAGGACTAAAATATATATTTTGTGTAAAACTGATTTCAGTCGATATTAAAACACGTATTTCTTACAAGTTTATCAAACGATGACCTGCTCGTTTCTCCTGATTTTATTTATTTTTTGTTATTNTAAAATACAAAAAGTTTTTCTTGAGTTTTTTTTTTACAATCCATTTTGTAGGAACTTATTTGACACATTTATGTGGCACAAAATAAAAATTCCAACCTTTTAGTCCATGCTGACTTTATTTAAATAACTGAGGAATTAAAGGGAGAGTTTGTCTCAATCCATACCAGAGTAAATTAAGGTGTTTTTTATATACTAAGAACAGATTTAAGCAGCTTTTACATCCCATTATCTTTTTTATATATATGGACATTGCACTTGTGTTAAATACCTATGTCCCTGTGGAGAGTTTTAAAGTTTGACTTGGTCTGATTGTTTCTATGGGCAGATGACTCTTATCTCAAGAAGCTCAGCATGCAGTAAAGTCTGTGATAAGCTTCAATAAACAACAATGCTTTCATCAGCCATGTGACCTGAGTAAAAACTGCTGCAGTGCCCTGAATGCTTCAGGATGAAGCCTTCAAGGTGTGGAACAATGTGACCTGTGCAACAGTGACCCTCCTGATTCAGGTTTTTTTTTTTTAATTGCTTGAAAAAGAAGAAATTAGGTCAGCAGTACTCCTCCATGATAAACTGCAGAAGGAAACATCTGAGGTAAAAACGTTTTTTGTGTCTTCACTGTGCAGCAGGATCAGGTTCCCCCTCAGCTGAAGGGCGACGGACTTCAGAGAAACAAAGAAGCTCCCAGATTAATTTTTGTGCAAACGTTTTGTTCTGTAAAAATTAGCGAGGCTTCATCCCTTTATTTCCAGAAAGCCTTGAATCAGGACACAGTCCAGTGAGTCCACTGCTGCTGTGGCAACGGTCCTCCGTCCTGTTTGGGCCTGATTCATCCAACGTGGCAAAGGCTCAGAGCGGAACAAAGGAAGCAGGTCAGACTGAGCTGCAGTTTACAAAACAGCTGCCAAATCTGGACACACATTCTTCTCTCGCTTTTAATCTCAAATAAGTGTCGTTACTCAGCTTTCTGCAGGGAAAGAGAAAACACTGACAGACTGGACTGTAGGTTTAGTTTCAAATGGATAAAACAAAATGTGACCTTTGTTGGAAAACGAGGAAGTAGTATGATGTTTTTCAAATTCTCCAACTCAAAAGCTACTATGATTTGTAGTTTGTTGATTTATCACTTGGTATGGCGTCAAAGTAGTTTTGCTTATGACTAGAGGTTTAAAAACAACATTTTTATTCATCTTGAGGGACTTATATTTAAAAAGAGAATCCTCAGTATGTAAAATGATGTACAAGAATTATTTGAAGGGATTCTCCTGGCTATAATACACCTAGCAGAGAAAAATAAATTCATATGATTACTTCACCCTGTTAGAAAACTTCAACTGGAAGATAAATTATGAATATTATTTGTTATTGTCATTATCAGAATTACTAAATGGTGTTTTAAATGTTATTTACAGCAAAAATCCCTTTCCTTTAATTGTAACTGCAGCCTGTGCTCACCCTGACTCACTTTACCAGTGGAGGTCACAAATGTTTCTTTCTTCACATCTTTTCAAAGTTTACAATGTTATTATAAACACTTCGACACACTTCTTGTAATTTAAACATCTTAAAGAGAGATTTTACCCAGTGTCCAATATAACTTATTAACCAAGTAAAGTGCACACATCTAAAATACTGACTTTATTCATCACATTTGGATCTTGGCAGCAAAGCAACTTTTTATTTGCATCGGTGACGTAGTTAGTGATCTATAGTTTGAATATTTATTCAAATTCTGATAATATATACTAATCATGAAATTAGAATTGATCAATATCACTGTAACAATATAGATACCTTATTACTGTTTCTCAACAACAAAACTTTACAGTATTACAGTAATAAAATACTTCCTATTTATCTGTAAACTGCACAAATTCTGACTGGGTTTTAACTAATTATTAATCCAGCTAAAACAAATCACAAAAATTCTTATTGCTACTGAAAGTTTATTTAAATATAGCCATTTTTAACATGCATATTTGTTGAATATTTAAAAGTATCGGTATCGGATCATTGGTTGACACTATCGGATCGATACAAAATTTTTAGCTGTATCGCGCTTTTCTAGCCATCGGATCAGGGCGGGCATTCTGTCTGAATGGAAGCAGAAACCACGCCCACCATGGTCATAGACCATGGCTGTCCGTTTCGTCCGCCGGGCTGTAAATGGTGCGTAGCTGTCTTTAAAGCTCTGTTGATGAACGCAGCTCGTGCCTCCGGCTGTGAGTGAGTTTGGTGTCACCACGCGGTCGGTTCGGTTGCGCATCGCACATTCTGGGTCCAAGCAGAGAACTGACTGGTTTCAAAGTAAGTAATGTCTTGGCGTAGGTGAAGAAACGGGAGCAGATAGGTTGTTTGTTTATATTAATCTCTTGGTTGTGAACAGCCACGAATGTTAGCTTTAGCCAAGAAGTGAATGATGCAAACAGACACTGGATGATGTTAGCTAGCTTACACTTCTTGTTTAGTTTAAACTGGTTAAATGTTAATATGAAGATATGAGGAAAAAGTTGACGAAGTCAGAAGTGTGTATAATGTGTCTGACTGTGGTTATTGGTGTGAATGTTTGAATGAAACAGGATTCATTACCCTCGCCTTTCTATCCAGACTTCAGCTAAAGTAAATTAACCCTGCCTTCACAGCTAATTACTGTTTTTGTGCCCATCCTACATTTAAGTGTTCATACACTTTTATAGTATTTTTATAACAACATTAAACGTCAGTATCATGTTGCAGAAAAGTGAGATCTTTCTGTGGAGATAAATATGACAGAACTGTGAAAAACCTGTTTTATTTTACCAACATATCAAGGATTTGACTGAGTATTATTGAATGTAATATTTCATAGGTAAGATAAATGATTAAAACACATAATTTAAAGTTATAGCTTTTTGAAATAATGTTTAAAGGGGAAATAGATTGATATCACTTCATTGCAATATGAAGTGATGGTATGAATTCATAAATACTGAGCTGTTATGTTTATGTAAATGTAATATCAAATGAAGCATGCAAAGATTTACATAAATGTTAATAAATGGCCACATCGTTGTGTGCCTTGGATGATTTCTAATTGTAACAATTATTATACAAATGAAAATGTTTAAATGGTGATCCCCCCCCACCCCCCGTCATGCTTACCAGATATTTTGATGTGGTTTTATAAAAAATAATTTCTCATTCTCTTTATTTTACACTATATTAAGTGCCATCTTTAAAACAAGTTAGCTGATACTGCAGGAACTATTGTTCTTTTGTCTTTTATAAAAGTTAATCACCCCAGCTGCAGTTTTAAATAAAATCAGTACTGCGACTGTGTTGTCAGTACAAACTGTAACATCAGTCACATTTCTGTCTAAATACTTGTGTTGTCTGATGAATGATTCCAGTCCTGATTCTGTCCTCATTCCTCAACAGTGTTACTTAAATTAAATTTCATTGTACTGACTGGGAAATTTAAAAACAAGTTTGAAAGCAACAGACAGCTGCAACCTGCTTGTAAAACCTTGCTAGAAGGTAAAAATGTAATTAAGGTGAGGGTGTGTTTACATAGTGTGACTAAGACTAGAATGCATACATGACAGTTCCTTATTCAGAATGAGGTCATATGAGGTTAAATACCCTGCCTGCCTGCCTGAATCAGAGAGATGAGATAAAACAACTCAAAGCATTGATTGGTTGTGTTTAATTGTTCTGAATGACCACTTGTCCTTAACAAGTAGAACATGGTTGGATGGGACAGCGGGATAGCTGAACTGGATCAGTAGGCGCCCCGTGACGAGCAAAGGTTGAAGGTTCTCTTCACCTTTTTGTGTTTATGTCAGCTCCCCTTCTACTCCGTTTGATGCTGAGCTTTTTGCTTTGTTACGAAACACTGAAGCACAAACAGTGGAAAACAATTCAATAAAATTCTCTATAGTTTTGTGTTGTTTCTTTCAGTTGACATGCCGTGACAGAAATCGAAATGTTATTCTTAGAATGTAGAGATGGAAGTGTCAGATTTAAGATTCTCTCCCTTGTCTTTTAAACTGCTCTCACTTTATTATCTACCACTATTGAAGGCGTTAATGTTTTTGTCTGTCTGCAGTGTTAGAAAATTAGTTCATGAATCACTGAAGAGAGACTTTAATCAAATTATGACAAACTAATGACTGGGTTGACACCCACAACTGATTAATCTTTGGCTTCCAACTGATCTGAGATGGCTTCCACCTCTTTTCAGTCTTAACCTCTCTTTTCTTTTACAAATGTTAAGCTACAGTCTGACATGTTACCTTATGTTAGCTGATTTTTAACCGCTATTTGATTGCATGATATCCTATTTAAAACTATCATTGACTGTAAGAGGCTGTTCACAAAACATCTCAGCCACTGGACTAGTACTTCTTGGCTGTACATCAACAAGTCATTGTCATTTGGAGTTGGTACAAGACGTTCTCCACAGCAAATCAATCTTAGCCAACACAAAAGTGGCTTCGACTCGGTCAGTTTTACAGATATTGAGCAAAACATTTGTGTCGTAAGAACTCCGTCATCCTCGATTCATTGACTGAATGCCAACACATTTCACAAGATTTCACAATATCACAAGAACGTGCTTAATGTCATTTACAAGGTTTGACCAAAACAGCTGTAACTCTTGTCTTTTCTCGGCATCATAAGAATTTTAAAATCCTGGCATGGAAGGCTGCGGGTGATAAAAGCATTCCTCCAGGCTAGGTTTTTAATCTGTATTGGTAGAAGAGACACTGCTAGAAATTTGTGAAGAAATAAAGGCAAAATATGGAGAAAAAAAATACAAGTAGTTTATCTACAGACAGGCCTGCTGCCTAGAGATAACCCCGACTAATCTTAGTGGCCTCTGCAGACGGCGATAAGATGGTTGTAAATTGACAGATAAAGCAAAGCTACTTTTCTGTCACTTTATGAGGGACTCTATGTTTTTTTTTAAATTTGTGCTTCAGTTTAAAAGAGAACTAAACTTATGTTTTCAGTCAGACTCATTGAGAAACATCATGAAGGTCAAACTGTTTATGGTGTTTATTACATTTTATTTACTAATGTTCTCACACTGAAGCTGGGAGCTTCCTTTTTGCGTTTCACACCCCCTCAGCTGATTGACTGCAATGACAGTAAAGTTGGTGCTGATTGGTCGGTGGAGTAGGAGGTAAAAGTTTAAAGGGTGAGTTTGGTAAAAACACACATTGAGAGACGCTGGATAATCCACAGATGTGAATTCAGGAGGACAAGTATGATGTCTGTGTTTCAGCAGTTAAGAAATTCAGTATTTTTCTGGTGTTTCTTAAAATGTAAATTTAGTTTTATTATTTTTTTTAAGTTTTCATTACATTTAAAAAGGAAAAAAGTTGTCACATATTGATGTTGGCTTGTTAGATTTTTTCCACTTCAGACTCTGGGTAACTATAACATCTTGACTTTGTTAATCCCTCATCTCATATAGCCTGTAGATGGTGATATATTGTTCCTAAAACAGATTATTTTAAAATAAAATCTGGATTAGCTCATTGTAGCTTGTGTTCACACTGAGTTTCTGTTTGTTAGTAAACATTTATCTTAGTTTTTGTTTTAAATATGCATTTTTCATCCTGTTTTAAAATAAATTTAATCATTTAATACCTTTTTCTGTTTAATTCTGTTATTACACAATTGTTGTGTTGATACGCAAAAGAGCGCTGAAATGTGGGACACCCACTGTTCCATTTAAATCTCTGGTCTCAACATAAGTCCCGTTTTAACTTTTAACAGATCAGCAGCCTAAACACATGTTGGTGTCATGTTTGAGTCATGTTTTAAATGGTTTTAGCATCACATTGCAGCATGCTACATTAGCTTGTTAGACAGGAGGAAATCATTTATTCTGAGTAAAATAAGTTATTGATTCAGCTTCACATCATGGAAACGATTAAATAAATACCTCTGTTACTGTTCATATGGCATCAGCAGATCTATGAATTAATTAATTTATTGTTTTTCTTCCAGCTTCGTCTCTTTCCAGAACATCAGTACAATGCTGCTGCTCAGACGCTGTCCCAGTCTGACACGATGTGGACTCATCAGCACTCACAGGTAGAAAACAGAATTGGATCAGCATTATTCTCATCTTGCCGTTAAAAACAAGGACATTTTGGTGTTATTTAATGAGCACAGTGTAGTCTGAAATGTGGCGTCCATCACCTTTTTACCTTTACAATTTAGAAACAGCCGTATTCTACATATAACACTCTGAGTTCAGTTTTATGTCTAAAGACGCAGTTCTCCTCTCTCAGACATAAGGTGACGCCTGTGGCGGCGCTGTGTGCAGTTCGTCTCCGCAGCAGCAGCAACACTGAGGAGCACAAATCATACGAGCGCACAAACTGGAAACACATCCTGGCAGGTCTGCTGACYGGTACCGGAGCTGTGCTGGCATATGGGCTGCACCGCCACAAGGTTTGGAACAGATTATRTATTTAAAACCATAATTTATTATTTAGTTTTTGTTGTGCCAAGGTGAAAATACTTTGTACATCAATTACTTTTTATTTRCTTTACATCATAAAAACTAATTTAAAATCCCACACGCTCATGGTTGGAGAACATKAAGTGTCCTCAGAGTTAAATAAAACATTAACTGCCTTCTGCTTGTTCATTACAAGCCATCTGTCAGACCAGGCTTAGAATAAAGACTGCTGTTTACACATCTGTGTGGTATGCTGCCTACACAAAACATTAAGTGTAAAGTCCATATTGACATTCTTTATTATTGTACAACAAATCAATGCTTTCTTTGTTCCTGTCCAGGTGGAGCGAGCAGATACTGGAGCGTTGACGTTTGAGAGGCGCTCACCTCTTCCCATCTTCAGCCACGATGAAGTGACGAAGCACCGCTCTCTGGAAGATGGAGTGTGGGTCACCTACAAAGGAGGCGTCTACGACATCACTGAGTTTGTGGCGATGCACCCTGGTGGGAATAAAATCCTGCTGGCAGCAGGTGGAGCTCTTGAACCTTTCTGGGCTCTGTATGCCGTACACGACCAGGAACACGTGTTGGAAATCCTCTCGCAGTACAAGGTTGGACTTTTATTTTATTCACTTATTTAAAGTTTCTCTTGAACCAAAACACTTAAATTGTAGTATTTTCTCTAAAATTTGTGAAATGGATGAACAAAAAAAGGCAAAAGCTTTCAGGAAAAGATTTGTTTATTTTAGACCAGCTTACACATAGCTGATGAACAGCTTCTATATAAACCTCTGCAGTTAAATTATAGGTCCTAAATGTCACCGACCTAAAGATGACATTTGGCAAGAATATAACCATACAGTGGATATAAAAAGTCTACACACCCCTGTTCGAATGCCCTGTTTTTGTGATGTAAAAAACGACAGCATGACAAAATTTTTCACAACTTTTTCCACCTTTAATGTGACCTATAACCTGTACAATTGGAAAAAAAACCTGAAACCTTTAAAGCAGAAAAAACATAAAATAAAAAACTTGCAATGCCCTGGTTGCCTATGCACACCCTTAAACTAATACKTTGTTGYAGCACCTTTGGCTTTAATTACAGCAGTCAGTCTTTTTGGGTAGGAGCCTATCAGCGTGGCACATCTTGAYGTGACAAYATTTGCCCACTCTTCTTTGCAAAACTGCTCCAAATCTGATAGATTGCGAGGGCATCTCCTGTGCAAAGCCCTCTTCAGATCACCCCACAGATGTTCGATGGGATTCAGTTCTTGACTCTGGCTGGGCCATTCCAAAGCCTTAATCTTATTCTGGTGAAGCCATTCTTTTGTTGATTTAGATGTGTGCTTTGGGTCATTGTCATGCTGAAAGATGAAGTTTCATCTTCAGCTTTCTAACAGAAGGCTGAAGGTTTTGTGCCAACACTGACTGATATTTGGAACTGTTCATAATTCCGTCCACCCTGACTAAGGCCCCAGTTCCAGCTGAAGCAAAACAGCCCCAAAGCATGATGGTACCACCACCATGCTTCACTGTAGGTATGGTGTTCTTTTGGTGATGAGCAGTGCTTTTGTTTTTTGCACCAAATATACCTTGTGGAATTATGTCCAAAAATTCAACCTTGGTTTCATCAGACCATAACGTGTTTGGGAGATTTCAGATGTCTTTTTGTAAAATTAAGCCGGGCTTGAATGTTTTTCTTTTCCCTCTTGCCACCCAACCCATAGCCCAGACACATGAAGAAGACGGGAGATTGCTGTCACATGTACTGCACAGCCAGTACTTGACAGAAATTCTTGCAGCTCCTTCAGTGTTGYTGTTGGCCTCTTGCCAGCCTCTCCGACCAGTTTTCTTCTTGTCTTATCATCAATTTTGGACAGACTTCCTGTTCTTGGTAATGTCACTGTTGTGTCATGTTTTCTCTACTTGATGATGACAGTCTTCACAGTGTTCCATGGTATATGTAATGATTTGGAAATTCTTTTGTAKCCTTCACCTGACTGATATCTTTGAATAATGAGATCCCTCTGATGCTCTGGCAGACCATGGCTTGTGCTGAATGAAGTGGCCACAGAAATGTCAGGACAAGCCTACTAGAAGAGCTGAACTTTATCAGAGGCACTTTAATTGGTGACAGGTGTGTGCTGACTCCAATTTAACATGAGTTTGAATGTAATTGGTTAAATCTGAACACAGCCACACCCCCAGTTCTAAAAGGGTGTGCACACTTATGCAACCACATTATCTCAGTTGTTTATTTTTACTTCACCTTCCTGAAAGATTTCTGTTTGTTTTTCCACTTGCATTGTACAGGTTACAGGTCACATTAAAAGGTGGAAAAAGTTGTGAAAATTTTTGTCTTGCTGTCATTTTTTTTACTTTGCAAAAACTGGGCSTTTGAACAGGGGTGTGTAGACTTTATATCCACTGTATAACCTAAGTACAGCTACATTTCTTTTTGAAGGAACTTCTCMCTTTATGCTGTCAGCCTAGTCTTGGTCACCGCAGACAGAAAAGGTCTGCTGGATTCTGTATACTAAAGAACATCTGTAGGCTTCATACTGGCACATTATCAAAAGACCAGTAGAGGGAAAAAAAAGCTTGACTTCAGGTTTTATTCATTAGATTCAGGTGTCTTTAGAACAAGAGCTCATGCAGCAAGTACACATCAGTTTAAAATAAAAATGTCTGTTTTTAATTAAACTTTTGTTTGTGCGTAATCAAAGATTGGYGAGCTGAGTGAAGAGGACCTGAAGAAGCAGCGTGTTGCTGAACCGACCGACCCCTTCTCCTCTGACCCCGAGCGCCACCCGGTCCTACAGATCAACACCCGCAAGCCTTTCAACGGCGAGCCGCCTCCTGAGATCCTCTCAGACAGCTACATCACTCCCGCTGCCTTCTTCTTCAAAAGAAACCACCTGCCGGTTCCTCAAATAGACCCGGCTTCATACCGGCTTCAGGTGGAGGTGCGGCCCGGACATGTCCTGACGTTGTCTTTAGAGGACCTGAAGACTAAATTCCCCAAACACACGATCACTGCGACGCTGCAGTGTGCAGGTAACCGGCGTAGTGATATGAATAAGGTGAAGCAGGTGAAGGGTCTAAACTGGGGCATTGCTGCCATTGGGAATGCTAAATGGAGCGGCGCCCGGCTCAGGGACGTGCTTCTGGCTGCTGGTTTTGGCCCAGAYGTGGCCAAGTGGGCTCGCCACGTTCATTTTGAAGGGCTGGACCAAGATGTGACGGGGACCACCTACGGTTCTTCAATTCCTCTGAACAAGGCCRTCGGGGAGGAAGGGGATGTGCTTTTGGCGTATGAAATGAACGATCAAGAACTTCCCCGCGACCACGGCTTCCCGGTCCGAGTGGTGGTCCCGGGCGTTGTGGGTGCGCGTAATGTGAAGTGGCTGGGTAAGATCGTGGTCAGCGCGGAGGAGAGCAACAGCCACTGGCAGCAGCAGGACTACAAAAGTTTCTCCCCTGGTACCGACTGGAACCACGTGGACTTTAAATCTGCTCCGGCCATCCAGGAGCTGCCGGTCCAGTCTGCCATCACAGTCCCGGCCGACGGAGCCGTGATCGACCGCAGCGACGAGATGCTAACTGTGAAGGGCTACGCGTGGAGCGGCGGGGGCAGGGAGGTGGTGCGCGTGGACGTCTCTGTGGATGGAGGAAAAACGTGGCAGGTAGCTCAGCTGAGGAGCGGTGAGACGGGACAGGCTTCCGAGCCCCCGCCTCCACCGGGTCGAGCCTGGGCCTGGAAGCTGTGGGAGRTAACCACTCCTCTTCCTCCTGACGCTCAGGAGCTGAAGATCATTTGCAAAGCAGTGGACAGCAGCTACAACGTGCAGCCGGACACGGTCCTTCCAATCTGGAACCTGAGGGGTTTGCTGAACAACGCCTGGCACACAGTGAAGGTCCGGGTCAGAGACGATTAGAACCAGGTTCAGTTTCTGACGTCTTGCAGGAAACTTTGTCTTAATCTGTCTCAGTGGGAAAAGAAAACAGAAACTGATCATTTGTGTATTTGYTCAGTATTCTCAAGTATTTAAGTATTTGTGATCCTGTCTGATTTAAAGAGTTTACTGAAGGTAAACCAAACATTGAGTGATTCACTCACTTCACGMTGAAGATGCGGTTCCATTTGCATTTATGCAATTTTATAGCAAAGACAAATGTAATTTTTTTAAATTTATTTGGAGTAGATGTAACATCTATTCTTTACATACAGAATCATCGTAAATATTAGTTTTATAAACTAACTTTGAAACTTTAATGCATTGTGTGGATTTGCTTATAAAGAACCACTTCTTTAAATCAAGGTTTGTGTTAAAGGAGTTACAGTCAGAAAAGTCAGAYTCTGGGACAAGGACTCAACTGGAATACACACAAAAATCGTTTTGAAGTTTTATTTCATCTTGTGTAGTTTCTCTTTGGTACTGCAAGTTACAATATCCTAAACAGATTTTTTTTAATGTATTTATAAGTAACTTAAACTTTTCTTATAACTGAGTGTTTGCTTCAATGATGTCTTCTGTTGTTGGAGAATAGAAAGCATGAAACTTGTTCAGCTGTTTACAAATAAATTAAACATTTCTGGTAGTTTTGGCTTAGTGTGAGCCATGACTCACTCTGTGCTATGGTGTGAAGAAAAAAATCAGTGATTCTGAAAGGGAAAGATTACAAAATGTTAGCAAAAAAACTTTTTATTTTTATTTTTTGGCTGCCTGGTGTGAAACTGCAGAAGTGCCAGTGCAGCAGAGTAATGCTAGTTTGTCATCATGGTCTGTTTTTAGACCAACTGCAGAGAAAAAAACAAGGAAACTAAGGTTTTCACAGTTTAGCAGAAGCAAATGTTATCCTATCATTTTCTTTTAATGTTGATCTACAGAAGGCTTTTTTAAAATGTCATGCCGGTTTAAAAATATCTTGTTGGAAGCGATTTATCAGCCCCCAGGAAGACTTCTAGTTATTGTTTTCTGAACATGTGGATGTGTGGTAAACAGGATATAAATGTAATTCAAACTCTTAATTATGYGTTTACAGGAGTAAAGAGTTTTTATATTTGTTTTTTATTTACAGTGTCATGTAAAGTTAAAACTAATTAGATACTACATGTTTGCTTGCGAACTTTAAGTATTTTGTTAATGAATGACCAGGATTGTTTTTTGTCTTAATAAATTTTAAACCTGCAGAGGATTCAGTCCAGATGTTTTCTTTGTCTTTTTTTCCTGCAAGTTGTTTTCTGTGACTGCAAAAGACTTGAGTAACACAATAAAATATGGCATCTTTCAGTATCATTCTGTGTCTGTCTGACTCATAAGCAGATGGAACTTTTCTGCAGGTAATCTGGTCCATGTGAATGTGATCTCTTGACGTCTGTCTTAAAGAAAAAAAAGATACATAATTTAGCAATAACTTAAAAGCCATCAACTTATCGTTAAACATGAACGCTTCAAAGATAAGGAGCTGCACAACCCTTAACTTCTACCAGCTTTGTGTCCTATTTTACTTACCAATAAAAACTGTAATAACAGTGACAAACACAGGAAGTATAAAACTGATAACTTGGTAAGTCAGCATCCAGACAAATGTGTCACAGTAAACTCCAACGTGTTTGTGTCAGAGAGAGATTTAGACTAAAAATTCTCTAATGTTGAGAAATGACGGAGTTTGTAGACATTTTTGGTCAAACCTCAAAAATAACATTCTTGTGAATGACTAGCTCCCTCTCCTTGGGCTGCCACCTTATCGTGGTGGAGAGGTTTGAGTGTCCCAATGATGGAGCTATGTTGTCTGGGGCTTCATGCACATGGTAGGGTCACCCAAGGCAAACAGTAAGTGAGGTATCAGACAAAGTGCAGCCCAAAGACCCCTATGATGAACACCACAAATGGACTCGGTGTTCTGTCGCCTGGACGCCAGTCACCGGAGCCCCACGCTGGAGCYAGGCCTGGAGGTGGGGCATGWTGGCAAGCGCCTGGTGGCYGGTCAGACACAGCCTGAARAGGAGACATGGGTCCCCCTTCCCTTCCCATGGGCTCACAACCTGTGGGAGGGACCGTAGGGGTCGGGTGCAATGTGTCTAGGGCAGTGGTSGAGGGCGAGGACCTTGGCGGTCTGATCCTTGGCTACAAAAGCTGGCTCTGGGGACGTGGAATGTCACCTCTGGTAGGGAAGGAGCCTGAGCTGATGTGTGAGGTTGAGAGGTTCTGATTAGATATAGTTGGACTCACCTCGATGCACCGCTTTGGCTCTGGAACCAGTCTCCTCGAGAGGGGTTGGACACTCTTCCACGCTGGAGTTGCCCATGCTGAGATGTGCCGAGCAGGACTGGGCATACATATTGACCCCCACCTTGTTGCCTGTACGTTGTGGTTCACCCCAGTGGACGAGAGGGTAGCCTCCCTCTGCATACGTGTGGGGGGACAGGTCCTGACTGTTATTTGTGCCTATGCGCCTAACAGCAGTTTTGATTACCCACCCTTTTTGGAGTCCTTGTAGTGGGTGCTGGAGAACGCTCCTAACGGGGACTCCCTCGTTCTGCTGGGGGACTTCAGCGCTCACGTGGGTAATGACAGTGAGACCTGGAGAGGCGTGGTTGGGAGGAACGGCCCACCCAATCTGAGCCAGAGTGGTGTTTTGTTGTTGGACTTCTGCACTCGTCATGGATTGTCCATAATGAACACCATGTTCAAGCATAAGGGTGTCCATATGTGCTCTTGGCACCAGGACACCCTAGGCCGCAGTTCGGTGATCGACTTTGTGGTTGTTTCATCTGATCTGTGGCCACATGTCTTGGACACTCGGGTGAAGAGAGGGGCGGAGCTGTCCACTGACCACTACCTGTAGTGAGTTGGCTCTCGTAGTGGGGGAGGATGCCGGTCAGACCTGGCAGACCCAAACGTATAGTGAGGGTCTGTTGGGAACGTCTGGCAGAGTCCCCTGTCCGACGGAGCTTCAACTCACACCTCCGGGGGAACTTTGAACATGTTCCAGGGGAGGTGGGGGACATGGAGTCCAAGTGGGCCATGTTTCGTGCCTCCWTTGTCAAGGCGGCTTACCTGAGCTGCGGCCGAAAGGTTGTCGGTGCCTGTCATGGTGGCAACCCTTGAACCCGCTTGTGGACACCGGTGGTGAGGGATGCTGTCAGGCTGAAGGAAGAGTCCTATCGGGTCTTTTTGGCCTGTGGGACTCTGGAAGCAGCCGATAGTTATCGGCAGTCCAAGCGATTGCGGCTCAGGTGGTCGCTGAGGCAAAAACTCGGGTGTGGAAGGAGTTAGGAGAGGCCATGGAAAAAGACTTCCGTATGGCTTCGAAGAGATTCTGGTCCACCATCTGGCATCTCAGGGGGAAAGCAGTTTGCAACCAACACTGTTTATGGTGGGGAYGGTGCGCTACTGACCTCAACTCGGGACGTTGTGGGTCGGTGGGCAGAATACTTCGAAGACCTCATCAATCCCACTAGCATGCCWTCCCATGAGGAAGTAGAGCCTGGGGACCCTGGGTTGAACTCTCCAATCTCAGGTGCCGAGRTCACCGAGGTGGTTAAGAAGCTCCTCKGTGGCAGGGCACYGGAGGTGGAAGAGATTCGCCYGGAGTTCCTTAAGGTTCTGGGTGTTGTGGGGTTGCATTGGTTGACACAACTTTACAATATTGTGTGGACATCGGGGRAAATTCCCCTGGATTGGCAGACTGTGGTGKTGGTCTGCCTATTTAAAAAGGGGGACCACAGATGGGGATCAAACTTCTAAGCCTCCCTGGCAAGGTCTATTCAGGGGTCCTGGARAAAGTCGAATCTCGGATTCAGGAAGTTTGACTGTGTCCYTCGGGGAYTCCTGTGGGGGGTACTCCGGGAGCTTGGGGTACCAAGCCCTTTGATACGTGCTGTTAGGTCCCTGTACAACAGGTACTAGAGTTTGCTCTGCATTTCCTTTAGTAAGTCGGACTTGTTTCCAGTGAGAGTTGGACTCCGCCAAKGTTGCCCTTTGTCACAGATTCTATTCATAACTTTTATGGACAGAATTTCTAGGCGCAGCTGAGGGAATCTGTTTTGGTGACCTTGGCATTGCATCTCTGCTTTTTGCGGATGATGTTGGCCTATTGACTTCATCAGATCGTGATCKTCAGCTCTCACTGGAGYGGTTCGCAGCCGAGTGTGAAGTGGCCGGGATGAGGATCAGTGCCTCCAAATCCAAGACCATGGTCTTGAGCCAGGGAAAAGGTTCTGCCTSAAGTGGAGGAGTTTAAGTATCTTTGGATGTTGTTCACCAATGATGGAAGAATGGAGCGGGATGTTGACAGGCGGATTGGTGCTGCGTCTGCAGTGATGGGGGCGCTGYACTGATCTATCGTGGTAAAGYGAGAGCTGAGCTAGAAGGCRAAGCTCTCGATTCACCAGTTGGTCTACATTCCAACCAAACTATGGGCACAAGCTTTGGGTAGTGACCGAAAGAACAAGATCGAGGATACAAGCRGCCACAAATGAGTTTCCTTCACAGGGAGTCTGGGCTCTCCCTTAGAGATAGGGTGAGAAGCTTAGTCATCCGTGAGGGACTCAAGAGTAGAGTCGCTGTTCCTCCATGTCGAGTGGAACCAGTTGAGGTGCCTCGGGCATCTGGTTAGGATGCSTCCTGGAYGCCTCCCTGGTGAGATTCCGGGCACGTCCCACTGAGAGGAGACCCAGAGGAAGACCCAGGACACGCTTCTCAGCTGGCCTGGGAACRCCTTGGGATTCCCCCAGAAGAGCTGGCCCAATTGGCTGKGGAGAAGAAAGTCTGGGTCTCTCTGCTTATGCTGCTGCATCTGTGAACCGACCCCGGATAAGCAGAAGAAAATGGACGGATGGATGATTCTAGCTCATTTGTTAAACTGAGTGACTCATTGACCCAAAGTACAGTTTATTAGAGGTGATTTACTTTCTTAAAGTTTGTTAAAAATTTATAAAACAGTTCATGAGAATTTTTTCCCTTCAGTGTTTTTCCTAATTCCTCACATCACAAAACAAATAWAAAGAAAAATAGCCTAAACACCATTTAGTTTGAGGCAAACCTAGCCTGGCCTTTGCCTTCCARTTCCGCTCAATTCTAGTTTCCCTTCACTGCTCCGTCTGGGATTTCTCCCACTGACAAGGATTTATTCAGGAGAATTTTTRTCCAGGCCAATCAGAGAACAGAACGTTGATTTTCTGTGCAGTGTCTGCTTGTAGTTTATCTCACCTGGGCCAATCAGCAAACAGAAGGCGGAGTTTTGAACGACGTCGTTTTTCTACACAGTGTCTGCTAGTTATTTTAGCATACAGCAGTGGAGGAAGTGAATGAAGCCAGTCCGTGTTGATAAGGCTTCCAAATTAAATTAAATTGGTCTGACAATGCAGCAGCTCTCATTTACAATTGTCTCKTTCAGCTCAGTACTTTTCTCCTCTCAGTAGGGTTGTTTACAGCACATGCAATTTCCAGTAAGCTTCTTAGCCTCCTTCACAGYGACATAYGTCRTGGCCAAMSGATCCWATCATTTTAAACTTCAGCAGAGGTCACGCCTCCAGCAAGAATCGCWTCTCTATAGCCKCGAGTCCAGACCCTCGCACGTAGCAAAGTGAAGGACAAGGSTCTGGTTTTTACCAGGCTAAGGCAAACCATGAACTTGCGTCTTGATCTCACTTGTTACTCTGGCTAATWCTTTTGTAAGTACGCCTCTGAAGCCTATTGTGACTAATAGTAAAACTCTGTGACAACAGTACCACAAACCTCCCTAAAATGGTAAAAAAAAAAAAGGTCATTTGCAATCTTTGTTAAAAAAGTGTGKGTGTGTGTGTGGGRGGGGGGGGGGATAAAATTGAGCTGAAATTGCTTGTGTGGGTGTGTGTGTGGGAGGGGGGGGGGATAAAATTGAGCTGAAATTGCTTAGTCTTAACCTCCTTTTATCAAAGTAGTAACATCATTTGCTGGCGGTAGCAGATGAGTACAATAACTCATCGTCTTTGAAGTGTCATTCAACAGGAAATTTGAATTTCAGATTTTCAACGGCAAACAGAACTCCAAGGTAAAGAAAGTAGATGATGATCATGTTTGGGATGCTCTGGATAGGCGTATGTCAATCAGCTTYCCACAGCCATTGAAGAGTGGACCAATATTCCACAGGCCACAATCAACAACCTGATCAACTTTATAGGATGTGTTGGACTGCATGAGACAAATGGTGGTCACACCAGATACCGACTAGTTTTCAGACCCCCCTGTGCCCCAATTAAGCAAAACGGCACATTTCAGAGTGGCCTGTTATTGTGGCCAGCCTAAGGCACACCTGTGCAATAATCATGCTGTCTAATAAGCATCTTGATTTGCCACACCTGCTATGTGGGCTGAATGATATATGCAAAGGAGAAGTGCCCCTTAACACAGATGTACACAAATTTCTGATCAGTATTTGAAGGAAGAAGGTCTATTATGTACATTGAAAAAGTTTTAGATCTTTGAGTTTAGCTCATAAAAAATGGTAGCAAAAACAGTGTTGCATTTATATTTTTGTTCAGTGTAGTTTAAGAATAAACCTTTGAAGCTCTCACGGGTCACATAATACRATGTGGCAGGCCACATTTGGCCCACAAGCCTTAATTTTGATGCATGCATCAAAATGAATACAGTTGAAAAAGGTTAAGCAGGTTTTCACATMTGTCTCAGATGTTAGTTTAACTTTAAAAAGAAGGAGAAACCCACCCACTGCTCTTGCGCAACATTAGAATCTGGTAGTTTGAACCATTTAGCTCAGTCGAAAACCTGAATGGTTTGTTTTCTGAGGACAACAGGAATGTGGAGACCAGAGGCAAGTCTTATTCTGTGGTTTTAGACCTACTTTTAGTTTGTGATTAGATCCAGTCATGTGAAGACCAGAGAACAAACAAAATRCCTGTGATCACAGGGTGGGAATGGTTACAGTGTGCCCTCACTTATAACTTTTAATGAGGCTGGACTGGAGCTTTTTTTTTTTAAAATGGTGTCTCGACTCTATAAACAAGTGTGGAGAAGCTGCAGCAGGAGCTCCTCATCTCTCCCCTCAGAACAGCTGGACAGTTTAACAGCTGAGGTCAGCCCCCTGCTCTCATTCCTCAGAGATGGATCATCAGAGCCACGGGGCTGACTCATTCCACATCAGAGTTAAAAACCCCTGGAGTGCRCAGGAAACAAAGAGTCTGCTGTTTGACTCTGCTGAACACTCCTCAGGCTTTAAGCACCCGATCTTTGGACCGCAGGAACCAGAATCTGATCGATGGAGTTTACAGAGCTGCTGCTGCTGCTGGTGCTCAGCCTGTATGGAGCAGCATGTGCGGTGGTTCAGTGGCCAGAGCTGGATGAAGCAAAGGTAAAATCAAAACACTCATTTCCACTTTTTAAAATTCAGAACCCTTCTTTTATATTGTAAAATAAATAAGACAAATATTTGAATGTACAGGTGTATCTGAGGCAGTACGGCTACCTGACTGTTCCAGCTGATCCAACAGACACAGACAACCTGGAGGAGCTCATTGAAGCTCTTAGGTATCATTATTTATGACTTTTCTTGAGAAAACAGACGATGTTCATGTTGCCATAACTGTTAGATCAGGATGTGCTATAAAGAAACTTCCTACAAAGAATCCAGTTAGTTTTCTTCGTTTTTCATCCTTAGTTTCCAGATGTTTGATTTGCCTCTTGTTCTGTCAGAGTCTTCCAGAGAGTGAATGATCTGCCACCTACTGGAGAGCTGGATAAAGAAACTCTGGAGGTGATGAGACAGCCTCGCTGTGGTTTGGAGGATCCCTTTAATAAGAAATTCCTCAAGTACAGAGTGATGGGTGAGTCACAGAATAAACAACAGAGGTTAGATAATTTATTTAAATCATTAAAAAAACATGTTTGACCCAATTGGCTGGTGCTTAATGTGTTGCGCAATACAGAACTGTTGATTTTGTTTTGCAAAATRTCAGAAATAAGAATAGACATAGATTGTATCAGATTATCAAGCCTGCCTTACAAATTTACTGTCACAGATACAGACCAATTAACTTCTAAAATAAATAAATAACTCAAAGTAGTTGTTAAAAAAGCTCTAAAGCCAAAATAAATACAATATATTTGGGTCACAGATGTAGAAAATATAGTTAAATGTGTAAAATATTTAATTAATGTTATTTAATAGATGGTGCCAAACACAGGAAGACAAAAAGGCAGGAAAAGAAAACTTAAACTTTGATAGTCAAATTTATAGACAAAAACAGGACCAACAGGAGGATTTGTGGGGAAAACAAAAGGTTGAAGGTCAAAAAAGTGTGGATGATTTTGGCTGACAGGAAAACAAGACACAAGTTTTTATCTCTTTTAAAAGTTGTTTTGGCTGTTTTTGTTCTGGTCTGTTTTGTGACTATATTTTAGTCCTCAAAACGTCTTGGCTCGATTGTAGCCAGAATTGAATTTACAGATGGGTCTGATTAAGTGGGTGGATCACAAAGTTTAACATAGCTTGTCACATATAGGAAAAATACGAAGAAAAAAATAACTTTCCCTGTTGTAAGGTTTGTTGTATGAGCTTCTTATTTA